CGCCCGCCCGCCCGCTCACGTGATAACATAATACGTCCCCGTCTTCGACGGGCGTATAAAAAGTTTCATAAATTAACAATGATGGCAGACAGGATGATGTTCAACTGGGTGCCTCCACATCTCCTGGTTGAAAAGGTTAAGGTGGCACAGAAATATTCCACGATAAATGAACGCACTTGGACTGAACTGTAGATTATAGGCAGAGCTAATAAATTGAAATATCAGAGAGAAAATAGCAATATCTGAAGAATAATATGTCCTTTAAATAATGCATCCACTAAATTATATAACCTATTTTAAAATCTACATGTGGATTGACCTAATGTTTTATAAATAAACAATGCAAAATTGCATGTACATTTTATGTATGTCTATAATATTTTAATTTTAAAATGAAATACTTTTATCAATTCCATCTCAAAGGTCACAGGGACCAGTTCCCTACCACCGGTTTTGAAATGTTTAAACTACTCTTCTGAACAGATACATGTAGGAGTATATAAGGCTCATTGCCAGTAGTATGTTTGAATGAAGGACTATCATTTTTTTCCAAATGCATATAACCTTGAAATTGACTAACTTTTAAGTTAACAGGACTAAAATGTGTTTGCTGTTTAAAAATATAAAGTGTCAAAGAGTCCTAAAGCCATGATAATACTGACTATAGGCATGCATCATTGTATCTATTGTTTGGTCAAATTAATATAATCTATTATACAATGTGTAACAGATCCTTAAGGCTTACAGTAGTAACATTTGGCCTGCCTCTTGGAGTTGCTAGCATAACATGATTTCAAGTTTAAAATGTTTGACCACAGTATTAGATCCAAGTCTGAGGTTTGACTAATCGTTAACTTCCAACAAAGACGATATATATGCTGTAGACTATCTGTATCTGTGTTGATACTGATTTGACTACAATTCTGAAGATAGCACTCAGGGAGGGGATATATGCTACACTTAGTCAGATTTTGTAGTCTGTTTTTGAAACTGTCCAAATCATCTGCCAAAACTGTACACTATATTGCCACGCCAGGATTGAAAGTGTGCATAAAAAAATATGGAAATTGGGGATGAATTCAACTATTGAGGTCATTCCAATATGGCTGCCACACCAAACTGTATATCAAATTCAATAATGCATTCCGTTAGCATTAGATTCTGGTCACAAAAAAATCCTCCTCCAATATTTCGCAAACATAATTGAGATACATGTACACTAATTTCAGAAAAAATATTCAATAACTGATGAAACAAATCACTTTTTATATGTCCATTTTCACAATTCAGGAAAAAATCCATTTAAACTTGTAAATATCATAAGGTTGGATGTCCATGGAGATCATGCATCCAGAATATCACAACTGAGCATAATTAAAGCGAACAAGGCTTACTGAGGTTGGAAGAAAGCACGCAAAAGCAAGCAAGATATTACCTGTACACCATTCACTACAGGCAATGCAATATGGCTTGTATCAAAAGTCTTGTTAGCTTTATGAATTATTGTAAAATATCCAATCAAAATACATTTCATCATTTTCGAAATTTGAAGCATTTTCTCACATTTTTCTCGACAATAGTCACTACATGGATACTTCAGGAATGCATATACAGGTAAGTTTTTTCATTATTTTATTATTCATTGCAATTTTGCGCCACTCAAATTCTGCATTCAAATGTTACTTTTCAGACAAAGTCAACAATATTTTCAACAAATAATTTCTGCGAAGGTTTTCTCAATTTGTAATACACAAGTTCTCACTCAATGCAGATTGTTAAAATAAATTTGACCTTGACCCACTGTGAAGGTAAAAGATGATAAGTAATCTCAAACAGCAATGAATAACACGTGGATGTATTTACTTATGTAGGTCTGAACAAAAACAAACGGAAATAATGAATAATCCAAAGATCTATCGTATATTGACACGCGTTTAACATATGTTTCCTAGTTATGACAAGTGATAAGAAAATATCATAACCGAATACACACGCAGACACATAAAATAAACAACATTATAATATTACGTACCATTCAATCGAACTGTCCTCATTATTTGTTCAATCGTCAGGGTCCCAGACGTGCTTTAAAAAATCTGAGGATAAGGTAATGTCAGGAATAGTGACCCTAATGAGTGTAAGTGAAGGAATAAGTGTTCCAGAAGGTGGTAAAGGATGTTACGATAGTACCCTTACCTAACTACGAGCATTTTTTTTTATATCTATCGTAGCAGTGCGAAGTATGGAAAAGGATCACATCAATATATACAGGATTCGCACTGCATGTAATGCAATGCGAGCAACTCGTATAGAAATGAAAGCAGAAAGAATCTCACGACGGACGCGGTACCATATGTTAATTATTTAAGGAATGATTTTTATTTTTTCAACATTTATGAGGTCATAACAACAATGGGTTTATGGACATATTGAATGAATCGCGTTAGCGATTCATGTAAAATATGTCCAAAAACCCATTGTTGTTATGACCTCATAAATGTTGAAAAAATAAATATCATTCCTTATATTTACATTGACGAATCCTTTCAGTGGATCGATATAACAACGAATAAAACAAATAAACAGGGTTTGTTCCTGCTTATACACGGGTGCAACGCAGTGGCGAGAACAGTGTTTTTTCGCGGGGAAATGTGACACTATCGTGAGAGATCTTAGCAACCGTCAACAACAATAACACAACAAAATGTAGTTCCATATTCAATGTTTATTTGTAGCACAGGACACGTGAATACGTGGATATTTCACAAAGCACAGTTCAATAATATTTTAAGATGTAAGAATTAAGCATCTAGGTCGGTCGTTCCGAGTGAGTAGTTTTTGTAGTGTATTACTACGCAGTGTGATCAGGTTACTATCAGTTCCCACGTGCTGAGATTCTATGAACACCTGTGTTATGCATTTATGAATGTAATTTTTGTCAATGGGTCTAAGCATACAGAATGTAAATATTTCTGTATAGAATATACATTGGGCTATTGTGACGTCGCTATGCTTATGACGTCATAACTGTAACGTTGGAGATTACACTAGTGCTTCACTGTCAACTAGTGGCTGTTCTCTGTATGGATTTACCCTGACGTTAAAATGTGTTCAGACTAATATTATGTCTTTATTTCTGCGTGAACTGTAAGTTGATTAACATAAAATGTAAATATAAGTATTGGTTGTCATATTTTTGACATGCAATGCATGGTATGTAACATACATTAACTTACCGACATATTTAACATGGGGCGCGCTAAATGTGTAGGTAAGCCATTTGTATGTTACACACCAATGCATGTCAAAAATATGACAACCAATCCTTAATTATCATATGTTCATGTTAAATATTTACACCAGCTTTAGTTAAAGTAAATTGTATTTAATGCTTTTTGTAAACATGAAAATAATTCTCATAAATATGGAACGAATATTTTCTATTAAAGTGTATCCCGAATTAATTGATATACATGTAATACGTTATAAAAATAATTCATATGATACAATCCCAGTCGGCACATAACGTTGCCACACCATTGTGATCAGGTCAGATCAGGTCAGGTACAAAATAACCTACGATGGGACAAACATATTAACAACATCACCGCCAATGCCAATAGGTCCCTAGGTTTTCTAAAACGCAACTTAAAAATAAACTCACCACATAAAAAAGAACACGCATACAAAGCACTAGTTAGGCCAAAACTTGAATACTGCTCTTCCATTTGGGATCCACACAACACAAACCAAATTAAACAAATAGAAAAAAACGCAACGAAGAGCAGCACGCTACGTATACAACAGATACCACAACACTAGCTAGCTCCGTAACAGATATGATCCACAAACTACAATGGCAACACTACAAACACGGCGCTGTCACACAAGAATTATCCTTTTTCACAAAATTTTACACCAAACAGTAGCCATAAACACAACACATATACTCACACCGGTAGACCATCGAACCAGACATGCACACCCTCACGCATACAAACACATATCTGCTACAAAGGACACCTACAAATATTCATACTTTCCACACACAATAACACTATGGAATCTCATACCCATAGCAGCAGTACAATGCACAACACTAGAGAACTTCAAGGCACACTTACCCTATGCAGCCCTTGAAGCCCTCATCACACTCTAAAACATACCCCAGTTTTTATCTTTTATCTATACCTTGCACAAAAAATCACACACACCCTAAGTAATCACTGTAAATAACCCCCTTTTCACGCCTCTGCAATAGGACAATGGATTACTTTTCCTCCAAGTATACCCTCTTACATCTTCATGTTGCTCTCGAAAAATATCTATTAATACTAAATTATCAAAGATTTCTAATACTTTATCTCTAGCTTTAGGATTATAAAGGTTTTTGTAATTTTTGTCATAATCTAGTTTAGGATTCATTATTTAGTTCTCCACAGATAATAATGTATTTATTTGCAAATTCTTAAATGATCTCTGTTAGAATATTATAAAACTCAGAGTCATCCTTATTTGGGCCATATACATTAATAAGAGTAATTCTGAAAGTTTCAATTTCAATATCTAGCGCTAGGAAATTGCCTGACTTATCTTTCTTTTTCTTAAACACTTTGAGTTCAAAATTATTTTTAAAAAGAATAACAACACCTCTTGCAGGTCCTCCTTAAAAGCGTCTTCAACCGACAACAAGCGTCTTCAAGTGTCAACAAGCGTCGCCAGACAAAATCTATAAAAATATCGTATTAAGTAAGCGACATCAGAAGATATGTTGTTAATATGACTATAATACACCTCTATACCAGATTTCAATTTGAAAAAAATGACCGAGTTATGATGAATTGAATTTTGTATTAACCTGTACAGTTAAGATAGCGTCGCCAGACGATATCTTTAAAAATCTCTTACTAAAGTAAGCGACATCAGATGATATGTTATTAATAAGACTTTTATTGATATATACTCCAAATTTTAGCTACATATTTGAAAAAACGACCGAGTTATGATAAATTGATTTTTTACGATCGGTGGCGTGGCACACGTGTGTGAATAGAACTCCGCAGATCATGAAGCGTCTTCAGGCTTTAACTCTAAGATTAACATATAAAGTAAGCGACATCCGAAGATATGTTATTCATATGACTACGATACACCTATGTACCAAACTTGAAAAAATGACAAAGAAATGATGAATTGAATGTTTACGATCGGCGGCGTTGCACACGTGTGTAAAGAAATCTACAGATCGTGAAGCGTCTTCAAACTATATCTCTAAAATTAATCTAAAAAAGTAAGCGACATCCGACGATATGTTATTCATATGACTATAACACACTTTTATACCAAATTTCAGTTTGATATTTGAAAAAAATGACAGAGTTATCGTGAGGTAAAATTTTACGATGTACAAGTATGAAGATTTACAGCGTATCACACATGTGTGCACACATATATAAGGATTCGCATAGCTGAACACGGCCAGCCCGGATTAAATTGCTGTGTAAACACTGGTACATAATGTATAAAATATTTTGTTTGTTTTATTATTTGTTTGTTTTATTATTTGTTGTTTTCCTCATCAGAATGGATGATTTTTTTCAGTTCCATGGATGATTTTTTTTCAGTTCCATTCTTTGTAGAAGTTAACAGACCGCTACGGACTCTTTGTCCGTAATATATGATCGTTTGACTATATCTATGTAATGTGTTTAAAAACATATAAATACTGCTTTTTTATTTGTAGACTTATAAATAAAAATTAAATAAAAATTAAACTTTTAATAAAGCTTAATGCCTAATACCGTCGTTATTTTCATATTTTTAGCGATTTCTGCGGTATTGTTAACATATCATTCGTAGAAGAAGAAAAAAAAAGTTGGTTTTCTAGCACACATCTTTTGGGAACTTTTAACTTTTAGAGCTTTATCAATGTTAACGATTCACGTCAGGCAACTAAGCTTGAAATTTTGCGCGTGCTCGGCCAGTTCATAGTCACCGGTACGAACGACCATCAAGAGTATTGCGATTGTTGCATGCTGAATCAGCTCGGGAACTTGTGAGGTTTGAATAAGCTTGATGGTTTGATTCATTATTTCGAAATGGTTGTTTTTCAACCTTTTAGACAATCACTTTTCTACGTACACCATCCACGGACTTATACTAAATCTAATTCCGTGGTACATCAGAGTATTGAAACTGTTGAATGGTATAACGTACCTAAACCCTGAATTCGATCGGGAACTTCATAAGTTTGAAACTTGATGATTTGCAATTGTTGTTTTTCAATCTTTTTTTTGTAAAACACCCCGCGCTTGATCGTTGGTCAAATCTGTTCTGACCAATATGTCTCTATACGTTTTCTATACGACTCATCAATCTTTTGCGAGATAGGAATGGTTTTTATATTAAATATCAATTCAAAAAAACATTTTTTCTTGTGTTATTTTGTCATAGAATATGCATAAACTGATCTTTTTAGGGGCAACATATTTTTTAGATATAAAGTAATAGGTATAGACGTCTCATTCTTAACGTAATTGATTATACCATCACAGCATGTCAGTGAAACAATGTTTATACAGCAATATGATCCGAGCTGGCCGTGTTCAGCTATACGATCGAAGTCCTACGTACATGTAGACATATGTGACACGCCGAGAGCTTCAACCTCACGACCACTCGGGCAATTAAATATCGACCTGAAACTTTGTATAAAGTCATATCAGTCATATGAATAACATAGCATTCACCGTCGGCCCTCTGGGCTTTTACGATTTCAATCGACTGCCTTTCGGTCTTGCGAATGCCCCAGCCACTTATCAGCGGCTAAAGGAACAGTGCCTTGGGGAGCTGCATATGGTTGATTGCTTCAAATACCTAGATGATGTAATAATATTTTCTTCAATATTCGAGGAACATCTTCAAAAACTCTCTAGGGTACTTGACCGACTGCGACCATGTCTAGATGCTGTCTCCAGTGGACGTCGACCAGCTAAAACCGACATGTCGACCCCCTCTTGGAACCCTCAGCTATATCGTCAGTTTGACCCGCTGAAGGTTAGTAGAGGGATATTACATAGAGATTC